AACCCTTACCCTGTTTAGGAAATTGAATTGACAGGGAAGCTGGCAGCTATTAAGCCCTGTCTAGACCCCAGTTACCTTTCTTATAAACTGGGAGAGAGTTTAGTTAATATTAATTTGGGGGTATGTTGGCTGGAGCCTAGAAAACACTTTTACACTTTCATTTTTATTTATTTATTTATTTTTGAGACAGAGTCCCTTGACTTGAGTGCCGTGGCGTCAGCCTGGCTCACAGCAACCTCAAAGTCCTGGGTTCAAGCAATCCTCCTGCCTCAAGCCTCCTGAGTAGCTGGGACTACAGGCATGTGCCACCATTCCTGGCTAATTTTTTCTATATATATTAGTTGGCCAATTAATTTCTTTCTATTTATAGTAGAGACGGAGTCTCGCTCTTGCTCAGGCTGGTTTCGAACTTCTGACCTTGAGCGATCCTCCTGCCTTGGCCTCCCAGAGTGCTAGGTTTATAGGCGTGAGCCACCATGCCTGGCCCTACACTTTATTTTTAAGCCAGTCAAATTTAGCAGTTGGGGGGTGTATGCCAACTTTAGTGACACCAATGTTAAGTGCTAATAACCGACTACTGACTTATTTTTTTTCAACCCAACTCTATCCTCCCTCTGCATGTAGCACCCTCATCACATGTGTGGATTCTGGGATTCTAAGAGTCTGGCGTGACGACGATAAGGAGGCATCCTCTGACCCAGTAAGCCTCCCCTGCCCTGATGGTTGAGGAATGTAGGGTCAGGGTAGAAGCCTAATGCAGGCTTTGGAGGAGGGAGGATTAAGGACCCTGGAAGTGACTCTCATCTCCATTCTTTTCAGCTCCTGGAACTGAGGGTGGGCCCTGGGGTGTGTAGGATGCGCCAAGACCCAGCACACCCTCATGTGGTTGCCACAGGTGGAAAGGAGAATGCCTTGAAGGTGTGGGACCTACAGGGGTCTGAGGAACCTGTGTTCAGGGCCAAGAATGTGAGTAATGGGTGTGGAGGGGCTGGATCTGAGGTTGAGGGAGTCCGAGGCCACTTTGAGTCAGAGACCAGATGGTCTTTAGAGGGTAATGAAGGAGGGGATGGGAGGGGCACACTGAGCCCCCAGCAACCCTGTCCCCATGTACCCACACCCCCAGGTGCGGAATGACTGGCTGGACCTGCGGGTTCCCATCTGGGACCAAGACATACAGTTCCTCCCTGGGTCACAGAAGCTTGTAACCTGCACAGGGTACCACCAGGTGAGGTGCCACCTCATCATCCCTACCTCCTCTTGGGCTAAAGCAGCCTTCTTGAGAAACAGCCTGCCTGTGCAGAACTGGGCCCCATGGTGTGGCACAGCTGCCCTTTTCACCATCCTGAGCTCTCAGAGGAGCAAGCGCTTCTCCATCTGTTCCATCCCCATCGCTGAGCCTGTGACCTTCCTTTACTGATTCAAGAATGGAGTTTCTGGCTGGGTGCGGTGGCTCACGCCTATAATCCTAGCACTCTGGGAGGCTGAAGCAGGTAGATTGCTTGAGGTCAGGAGTTCGAAACCAGCCTGAGCAAGAAGAGTGAGACCCCGTCTCTACTATAAATAGAAAGAAATTGGACAACTAATATATATAGAAAAAATCAGCCAGGCATGGTGGCGCGTGGCTGTAGTCCCAGCTACTCGAGAGGCTGAGGCAGTAGGATCGCTTGAGCCCAGGAGTTTGAGGTTGCTGTGAGCTAGGCTGACGCCACGGCACTCACTCTAGCCTGGTCAACAAAGTGAGACTCTGTCTCAAAAAAAAAAAAAAAAAAAAAAATGGAGTTTCCTAAATTATGGGGTTTCCTTTTCCTCCCACCTGGAAGAGAGGAGAGCAGGGAGTGTGTCCCTTTCACAGTGGGATCCACAGGGTACAGGTATCATGAGAAGACACTGGGCTTGGTATCATTTGTTTTGGTCCTAATGTAGCCTCTCTGATTTGCTTCAGAACTCAGGCCTGACCGTCCCATCTCTAGCCTCAGCTCCTTAGCTTTACATGAAGGGGATCTTTATGGTTTGTCTCATTTGAAGTCCTGAGACACAGGCAGGGCTGAACCACTGAATTTGCCCTGTTTCCTTTGCTTTTGCACAATGAAGTCTGATATTGGTGCTATACTTTGTTCAAAACACATGAAGGCATCTCCTCTCCTCCCTCCCTCCCTCAGGCTAAACTCTCTGCCTGAAATTCAGCACCCACTAATTACTGGATTTACTTGCTTTTCCATTCCTCCACTCCTCCCTACATGGGAGTATTGGTGGATGAAATGTTCACACCCCAAGCCTGGAGGACGTCTCCTCTCAGCCGTGTCCATTCATGTTCCTAAGCAGCTCTCCCCCACACTTCAACACTCAGATAAGAGGCATACATTTCAAATGAGAAAGTTTTTCTGAGAGTGGGTCATAAACAAGAAAGCAGTATCCAGAGGAGAGGGTGAAGATACAGAGATGCCAGAGGGTGGTGCAAGGTGAGGATACTCTTGTGATGTCTCAGCCTTCCTCTAGGTCCGGGTCTATGATCCAGCCTCCCCCCAGCGCCGGCCAGTCCTAGAGACCAACTATGGAGAGTACCCACTGACGGCCATGACCCTCACTCCTGGGGGCAAGTGAGTGTTTAGAGGGGAAGATATGGGAGGGTGGGGTTTGGGAAGGGCTCCAGTAGTTTCCTGCTGACTGCATCTGCCTCTGGTTTCCACCTCAGTTCAGTGATTGTGGGCAACACGCACGGGCAGCTGGCAGAAATTGACTTCCGGCAAGGTAAGTTTGGCTAGGGGTTGTTTGGGGAGGGGTGGGGGCTGGGTGGAAAGGCAGTGCAGTGGAGCCAGTGAGCCCTGATTCAGGAGCCAGATTACCTGGGTTCAAATCCTGGTTTCTCTAAAGCTATATAACCTTGGACTAATTATTTCAACTTCCCATGCCTTAGTTTTCTCACCTATAAAATAGAAATATTAGTGTTAACTTCAGTCTCAGGGTTATGTTGAGGATTAAATGTTGAAATGTAAAGTGACTGGAACACAAAACACTCAATTAATGGTTGCTGGTGGTCAGAGAGCACTGATATCTCCCCCTTCTCCAGGGCGCCTAGTGGGCTGTCTGAAGGGACTGGCAGGCAGTGTCCGTGGGTTGCAGTGCCACCCTTCAAAGCCCCTACTAGCCTCCTGTGGCTTGGACAGAATCTTGAGGGTACACAGGATCCAGAATCCACGGGGCCTGGAGCATAAGGTGAGATCACTCCCTCTGCCTATCTCATGGTCTTGTGGACCCCTCTGCTGGGTGTTCCGCCACTGATGTTTCTGTCTCAGCATGCCTGTGCTCCCTAAGGCCTCTCATCTTTTGCAGGTTTATCTCAAGTCTCAGCTGAACTGCGTCCTCCTGTCAGGCAGGGATAACTGGGAGGTGAGCAGATGGCCTGGGAGTGTGGGAGCCAAGGGCATAGATGTGAGGATTTCCCTGTGGAGATAAAAAGGAGGCAGGTGGAACAACTGGAACACAGACCTGGGGCTATCTATTTACCTGCCAAGTTACTTAATTTCTCTGAGGGGTGTTAACAGTTAACATCCTGACAGGGTTATTGCCAAGGGTGATACACCTAAGGGCACGGATGTCAATGGTTGTTGGGAGCAGGGAATAAAGATGGTGGTACACGAGGGGTTGTTTTTCAGCTAGGGTCTCCTTTGCTCTGGACTGTCAGGAACTGTGCCATCTAAGCTTTCTTCCCCCTCGCCAGGATGAGCCTCAAGAACCTCAAGATCCCAACAAGGTACCCTCGGAAGACACAGAGACAGATGAACTTTGGGCGTCCTTGGAGGCAGCTGCTAAGCGGAAGCTCCCTGATTTGAAACAGACCCAAGGGGCCCTCCAAACCAAAAGAAGAAAGAAGAAGCGGCCTGGGTCCACCAGCCCCTGAAGCCCCTATGCCCACTTTGTAAATAAACAGCTGAACACCCATCATGACCCTGAGCCTTTTGTGATGGGAGAAAGGAGAGGTAGCTTGGGGTGGGGGCTCCCTGAGCTGGGGCAGCAGGATATCTGACGTCACAAAAGCCCGGCCTGGAGCCAGGAAGGCTGGCGTGGGTGGCACAGAGTTCGGGGCTGCGGAGGGCCATGGGCTGCTGCCAAGACAAGGACTTTGCGACCTCCGATGAACAGGGCAAGGACAGCGACTCTGAGGACGGTGGGATCACAGACAGACAGAGGGCCCAGGGAGAGGGCGAGGGAGCTGCCCTAGGGGCTCACTTAGGAGATTGGATGGGAATGGGTGGGAAGGGAGAGCTGAGCTGAGCTGAGCAGCCTCATCGTCCCCTTAGGCGCGGGAGATACGGAGTTGGACTCCCCGGGCAACCGGAATCGGAGGTCTAAGTCGAACGAAAGCCTTCTGATCACCGTACTGTGGCGGCGGCTATCCATGTTCAGTCGTCGGGGCTCCGCGCGGTCATCAGGCAAGAGGCAGTCAGAGGGGGTCCATAGGGACAGTCCGATCCAAGAGAATAACGAGGAGGAGACCCAGGAAGAGACCCAGGAGGAGCCGGAGAAGGGGTGACTCCAGGCTTGCTCTCAGTCCGCCCCAGCCTCCAGAGAATAAAATTTCTAACGTGGACCTGCACGAGCAATTGTGCCTCTGCTGCCCGCTCTGGGCGCTCTAGGCGCGGACACCACACAGCAGCGGGCTCTTTAAGGCTCCTCCCCCGAGGCGGGCCCAGCCCCCAGGTCTCCTGCTGCGATTCCTCGGGGTGCGGTCACGGTGCCGGTCTAGCCAATGGGAGGGCGGGATCGCACTTGCGTTTGGTAGGGGGCGTGTCTCTCGGGTCGCTGAGCTCGAAAAGGCGTGGCACCGCCCATCGTCACCGGGGGTGGGGTTACGTGTGGGTGACGTGGCGGCTTCTCGCCTTTGGTCGGGTTTCGGCGGCTTTAGCGCCCGGGGAGGAGGCTGTGACGGCCCGGGAGATTGTGGCAGTGGCGGCGGCGGCAGGAGGCAGAGAGGAGGTAAGATTCGCTCTAAGAGGGGGTCTGGCCGCGTGTCAGCTCCGGGGCAGCCGCTCTACCGGGGCGACGACGGGCGGGGGGAAGGGAACCAGTGGCGAGCGGCAAGTCCTGCCGGCCCGGCTCCGGGTGAGCGAATACCTTGCTGTCCAATCAGGAAAACCCCTGTTGAGAAAGACGTCGGCTTTAGCTAATCAGTGCTTGCAGTCTTCCAGAAGGCGGAACTTGGCAGGGGGGGTGGGACTTCCTGTTTCAAATAAACACCTAGAGGTTTCCCCCTCCGCCCACCGAAGTGTGTCCCTCTCCGGAGGTCAGTCACCGTTTCTCCCTGAGGGATCGAAGGAAACCAAGGATACGAAAGGACCGGGTTAGGGCCTGGGGCAGTTGCACAAACCGGGCTGGAGTCTCAGGGCCACGGGACCTGGCTCTGGGTCAGTCTCTGCTTCAGGGTCCCCGGGCCCGCGCTCTGGTCGCCAGAGCCAAGTTGGAAGAAGAGTCTGAGGAGGGTTCGACGTGGGCCAGGGAGGAAGCGGGGCCCTTTCTGGTGTGGGCCAGCCCCAGGATCTGCGAGCGCCTTGGGCGCGAAAGTCCATACCAAGTGAAAGGGTCCGAGAATTTTGCTGGTTAACGGGGGATTTTGTGGGGAAGGAAGCTGCCTGGGGAATGACACTCTCCCCTCCACAACAGTCCGAGGTTATGCGTCTCAATGATCCCGCGGAAACGCTACGGGTCTAAGAACACGGATCAGGGTGTCTACCTGGGTCTCTCAAAGACACAGGTCCTGTCCCCTGCAACTGCTGGCAGTAGCAGCAGCGACATCGCCCCTCTGCCCCCCTCAGTGGCCCTGGTCCCTCCCACTCCGGACACCATGTCCTGCCGGGATCGGACCCAGGAGTTCCTGTCTGCCTGCAAGTCACTGCAGAGCCGTCAGGTAAGGATTTGGAGTGGAAAAGGCCAGGAGCGAGCCTTACTCAAATCTGGGAAAGGGCTGTGCTCGGGCAGTGTTAACTGCAGTAATTATTGGGGGAACCTGGTGGAACCGATAGGCTTAGATGGACCCCATAGGGTCTACTAAGCAACAAACAGAGAAAAGGTGGGCTAGCTAAGGAGAGACTAAGACCTGTCCTAGACTTTTTTGTGAGGAATCCCCTGGAGAACAGGATTGCAATTCTGAAAGGAATACCTCAGGGCCAGAGGTGGCTGCAAAGTATTTGGTTTGAATAAGGAACAAGTTCTGGAAAGAGCCTTTAGCTGAGAGACTTGCAACTTGAATTCTAGTTCCAGTATAGTTCTACAAGTTTGCTCTGTGACCATGGGGAAGTTAGTTAATCTAGGTAAAACAAAGAAAGTTTTCTAGATCAATAATTTATATCAAAATCACTTTGGAGTGCTTTTTTTAAAAAGTAGATTCTCTTCTTTCAGTCCAGACTTCTCGAATCTAAGTGGGACCCAAGTAACTGTATTTTAAAATATTTGTACTGGCCCGGCGTGGTGGCTCACGCCTGTAATCCTAGCACTCTGGGAGGCCAAGGCGGGCAGATCGCTTGAGGTGAGGAGTTGGAAAACAGCCTGAGCAAGACCCGTCTCTACTAAAAATAGAAACAAATTAATTGGCCAACTAAAAATATATATACAAAAATTTGGCCAGGCATGGTGGCGCATGCCTGTAGTCCCAGCTACTCGGGAGGCTGAGGCAGTAGGATTGCTTGAGCCCAGGAGTTTGAAGTTGCTGTGAGTTAGGCTGATGCCATGGCACTCACTCTAGCCTGGGCACAAAGTGAGACTCTGTCTCAAAAAAAAAAAAATAAATAAATAAATAAATAAAAAATATTTGTACTGTTCAGCTCTTTCTTGTTAACAGCTGCTATTCAATATGATCTCCAAGAGCTTTCCAGCTATTCTCTGATTCCCTGATTCAACAAAGAGAGCCATAATGCTACCTGTCATTTATTTAGTGCTTACAACATATAAGATAGTTGGCTAAAGTACTTTTCAGCTGTTATGTTGTTTAATCTTGGCAACAGCAATAGGAGGTTGGTGGACTGTGTCATTTTGTAGGAGAGGACATAGAGATACAGAATGATTTAAGTAACTTGCCCCAAATCTTCTAGCTAGTAAGAGGTAGAGTCAAGATTTGAAACCAAGTCTACCTGTCTTTGAATTGGGGCTCTAAACTGCTACCACTGATAAATCTAGATCGTCTGATGGTGGATGCCACCAGTACTAGAGAAAGAGTTTAGTAGACACCTGAGGAAGGGTGAAAGCTGGAAATGGGGTGGGGGGCGGGATGGATGGGGTTGGGAACTAAAGTTGTCACCTCTAGTCATCGCTTTTCAGAATGGAATCCAGCCAAATAAGCCAGCTTTGCGTGCTGTCCGACAGCGCAGTGAATTCACCGTCATGGCCAAGTGAGTTGGGAGAAGCTTTGTGGTGGGGTGATGTAACGTCTGAAAAGTACACTTGCCTCTGGTCACCTTGGCTGTGAGGGCTGGGATTGGTTGTGCTGGAGGTAATGTAGGAAAAGGTCCTCTCCTACCTTTTCTCACAGTGTTCTCACTAATGATCATTTGCAGGCGTATTGGGAAAGACCTCAGCAACACATTTGCCAAACTGGAGAAGCTGACAATCTGTGAGTGTTCTTGGGGTTTTTCAGAGGTGGGACAGTGAAACAAAGAGGGTTGAGAGTCAAATTCCCTGAGCCTTGTCTTTAACCTCACCTGTGGTGGCTTCTCATTTATCTCTATAGTGGCAAAGCGCAAGTCCCTCTTTGATGATAAAGCAGTGGAAATTGAGGAGCTAACATATATCATCAAACAGGTGAGCCATTAGCCACCAAGAGAGCCCAGCCAGTGTTCCAATCAGATCACTTCCATCATTTTCCAATGTCATGGAGGCCCAGAGCAAGTCTTTAGAGCCAGCCCTACACATTTTGCTCCTGCATTGAGTCAGTAGACCCTTATTAAATCATCTACCATGTGCAAAGCACCAAGCTAGGCACTGGTGACATAAATGTGAGACAAGATTCTTGCCTTCAGGGGCTTATTGTCTAGAAAGAGTATCCAGCTCCATAAACCCATACTTACAGTGAGTAGGAGGTGTGAGTGATACAGAAAAGATCTTACAAAAGGAGGAATGACACAGTTTGGAGATACTGGGAAAAATTTGAGACAGGAGGTGAAATCTGAGTTGGTCCAAGGCTTGTGTAAATGCAGTGGAAAGACATCCCAGGCAGAGGAAATTGTTCATGCAGAGACATGGCTTATAAAATGGAAGGGTCAAGTCTTTGATCAGATGTCATCTATTCAGGGAGGCCCATGCTGACTTTGGTGTTTAATAGCACCTCCCCCCAAACTCTGATCCCTATTACCCTGCTCTGTTTTCTTTTTCTGTAGCACTTCATACATCCTAACATTCCCTACAATTAACTTATTTTGTTTATGGTTTGTTTCTGTTCCCTCCTAGATACTCCAATCTCCCCCCTCATAAAAAAAGAAAGAAAAGAAAAACATAATTAGCACAAGAGGATTCATTTTTCCCCGCTTTTTCACAAATGTAGCCCAAGTGTGTATCTGACACATAGTAGACTTTTTTTTTTTTGAGAGAGTCTCACTGTGTTGCCCAGGCTAGAGTGCTGTGGTGTCAGCCTAGCTCACAGCAACCTCAAACTCCTGGGCTCAGGCAATCCTTCTGCCTCAGCCTCCCGAGTAGCTGGGACTACAGGCATATGCTGCCCTGCCTGGCTAATTTTTTCTATATATTTTTAGTTGGCCAATTAATTTCTTTCTTTTTTTTTTCTTTTTTTAATTGTTTTTTTATTTCTTTATTATTATTTTTTTTCCATTTTCAGTTGGCCAATTAACTTTTTTTTTTTTTAGTAGAGATGGGGTCTCTCTCTTGCTCAGGCTGGTCCTGAACTTCTGAGCTCAAACGTTCCACCTGCCTCGGCCTCCCAGAGAGCTAGGATTACAGGCGTGAGCCACCGCCCCCGGCCCAATTAATTTCTTTCTATTTTTAGTAGAGACTGAGTCTTGCTCTTGCGCAGGCTGGTCTCGAACTGCTGAGCTCAAACAGTCCTCCCACCTCTGCCTCCCAGAGTGCTAGGATTACAGGCGTCAGCCACCATGTCCGGCCCATTTGTTTATTTTTTTTTCAATCACTGACACTATTGTGTGACTTAGGGCTGAGACTGCTTTAGATGGGGTAGGCTGGCCTGGCAGAAGAAGTGACATTTGAGAACTGAATGATGAGGAAAACGTAGTCATCCAAAGATCTTTGGGGAGCATATTCCAGAACATAGGAATGAATAACAAAGGGAAAGGTCCTGAAGGTTGGGCAACACTGGGGATGCCAGTGTGGCTGCAGAATAGCAGGTGAGGAGCAAATTGGCAGGGGGTGGGGTCAGAGAAACAGGCATGGGCCAGGCCAGGGAGAGCCAGTGTGTGCCAGCTATGGAATTTGGTTTGTATTTTAAACTTAGTTGTAAACTCTTGGGAGATTTTAAGCAAGGAGATGACATACCTTGATTTAAAAGATGACTCCGGTTGCTGTATAGAGTATGGACTGTAGGAAGGCAAGCTGGGAATAGGACTGTCACTTAGGAGGCTCTTGGAGATTTTTTTATTTAGAAAAGAGGAGGGTTTGGACTAGGGTGGGTTCAGTAGAGAAGGAGAGATGTGGACAGATTCAGAGTATATGTTGGAGCTGGGCATGGTGGCATGTGCCTGTAGTCTCAGCCACCAGGGAGGCTAGGCAGGCAGATTGCTTGAGCCCATGACTTTTTGGCCAGCCTGGGCAATATAGAAAGAAAAAAATACACACAGAGTATATGTTGGAATGAGGCAGGTTCTTTGTGGTTTCCTGATAGTTTTCATGTGGATTTAAGGGAAAAGAGAGCAATTTGATCTCATTTTTTGGTCTGAGCACCTGGTGAGTCATGATGCCAATTACCAAAGTGGAAAAGAAGGAAGGGGGGGGGAGAATGGCTTTTGTGGAGGGAAAATTAAGATATCTTCTGTTTTGTATGTTAAGTTTAAGGACAAAGATAAAGTTAATTATCTTTGTTACAACTTTATCTTTGTAACTCTGTAACATGCTTCTTAACATGTTGTATGACACACAGTAAGCTAATACAAAGCTGTTACGTTTGACACAGTACTGCATCCATATTCAGAACTCCACTCGGTAGATTATAGTTTAACTATGGCATATAGTTGAGTTAAGGAGATGTGAACACGTGACTTAGAAGCTTCTAGCTTGGGTGCCTAGGTGGGAAGTGGTGCCATTTTCTAAGCTAGAATCCCCAGGGGAGAAGAGTTTGTGGGGCAAAAACCTAGAATGTAGTTGTGGATGCATGGCTGTGAGAAGGCTACAGCAACTCCAAAAGAACAAGAATGGTCATCAGTAGAAGTGAGTCCAAGAGTCTCAAGAAGATGAATGGGGTTGGGATATTAATCGGAGGAACTGTAGAAATTATCTAATCTCGGTGTTTGGTTTTTTTTTTTCAATTTTTTTTTTTTTTGAGACAGAGTCTCACTCTGTTACCCGGGCTAGAGTGCCGTGGTGTTAGCTTAGCTCACACCAACCTCAAACTCCTGGGCTCAAGCAATCCTGCCTCAGTCTCCCGAGTAGCTGGGACTAGAGGCATGCGCCACTATGCCGGGCTAATTTTTTCTATATATTTTTAGTTGTCCAATTAATTTCTTTCTATTTTTAGTAGAGACGGAGTCTCTCTCTTGCTCAGGCTGGTCTTGAACTGCTAAGCTCAAACAGTCCTCCCGCCTCGGCCTCCCAGAGTGCTAGGATTACAGGCATGAGCCGCTGCGCCTGGCCTAATCTCGGTTTTTCTTCTACCCTATATTTTACACTCACTATTCTTAACCCCTTCCTTATGGTCCCTACCTGGTTCTGGTTATACTGGGGCAAGCTTTCTCTGTCTCCTCGTCTCACTTGGTCCTTGGCAAGCTGGACTGACAAGTAGATGATACATTGGTCTGGTGGGAAAAGTCTGTTTGTGCTACTGATTCATTTTGTGTCACCTCGGACAAATCACAGCTTTTACTCTTTTGTAATAATTATTTTTAAAAGGAATTCTGGCCAGGTGTGGTGGCTCACTCCTGTAGTCCTAGCACTCTGGGAGGCCGAGGCGAGAGGATCACTCAAGATCAGGAGTTTGAAACCAGCCTGAGCAAGAGCGAGACCCCATCTCTACTGGAAATAAAATGAAATTAATTGACCAACTAAAACTATATAGAAAAAAAAAATTAGCTGGGCATGGTGGCACATGCCTGTAGTCCCAGCTACTTGGGAGACTGAGGCAGTAGTATTGCTTGAGCCCAGGAGTTTGAGGTTGCTGTGAGCCAGGCTAATGCTATGACACTCTAGCCTGGGCAACAGGGCCAGACTCTTGTCTCAAAAAAAAAAAAAAGGAATTCTGTATGTAAAAATCATCTCATTGATGCCTCTGGGAAACTATGGTGCCTTTGACTTTTCCCTTTTCCTGAGTGCTGTCCACGTGCTTTGTTGGTCAGCATGCTCTGGGTCCAAGATTTTGGCCTTTGAAAGAGTTCTGAAACCATGAGCTTGGCCTCATGGAGTGGAGCAAGACAGTAGGGTAGAGGGGTAAACAAGTCATTTACAAATGGATGAGGTCCTATTTTGGCTCTTTTCTGTAGCAACTGAGCTGGGAAAATTGTAGCAGGCCCTTTTGGTCTGTCTGGGATACTCTTGCTTCTGTTTGTAACTTCCACCCAAAGGGAGAGGTGATGGCTAAGGTCTCCTTGGTTAATACTTGTTTTTTTTTGGGGGGGTGCTTTTTTACCAGGACATCAATAGCCTCAACAAACAAATTGCTCAGCTTCAAGATTTCGTGAGAGCCAAGGGCAGCCAGAGTGGCCGGCACCTGCAGACCCATTCCAACACCATTGTGGTCTCCTTGCAGGTGGGACCTGGGGAGGAAGGGAGGGAGGTATAAAGGGGATGAAGGTGTCATCTTCTTTGGCTAATTCTCTCCTTTTCTTCTAGTCAAAACTGGCTTCCATGTCCAATGACTTCAAATCGGTTTTAGAAGTGAGGACAGAGGTGAGAAGAACCTGTGTAGGAGGGATAGAAATTTGGGGGTAGGGGCCCAAGAGGGAAATGGGAAAGGGACAAGTTCCACAGGGTTATTGTACCATCAAAGGGGATCTCTGTAATGTACCTGCTTTCCAGCAGCCTCAGGACTTTTTCATTTCTTCCCCAACCCCAGAACCTGAAGCAGCAGAGGAGCCGGAGGGAACAGTTCTCCCAGGCACCCGTGTCAGCCCTGCCCCTTGCCCCCAACCACCTGGGTAAGTCACAGGCATTATGGGAAGCCTTGAGGGGTAAAGCTAGTTACTCTGGTTATGATGGCATCCTCTAAAGGCAGGTGTTGAGTAGCAGAATGGAAGGGCAAGGAAGTTGCTAGGCTTTGTCCTTAGAGGCCAGACTGGATTGTTGGGGTTCATGATCCATACATAGTCTCCCACATTCTTGCTGTCAGGGGTGAATTCAGTCATATTCAAAAGAATGACAGTATCTAATATTTTTTGTACAGTTACTTTATTCATATTCTCTCATTTAATTTTCACAACCACCCTTTGAGAAAGCAACTGTTATTATCCCTCGTTTTACAGATGAAGAAGCTGAGGCTCAGAGAGGTTAAATGACCTGTCCAGGGTCGCAAGGCTAGTGAGTGCCAGAGCTTACTAGCAGATTCAAATCCAGAGCATGTGGGCTTTGAACCTGGCTTTTAACTAATTGTTATGATGTGCCATGTCCTCTTTTCTCCCCCAGGGGGTGGTGCTGTGGTTTTGGGGGCGGAGTCCCGTGCCTCCAAGGATGTGGCCATCGACATGATGGACTCTCGGACCAGCCAGCAGCTACAGCTCATTGATGAGCAGGTATCCAGGCTCCGAACCTAGGAGGATCAGCTCCTCTGTTGTCTGCAAGAAAGTGTTTGGAGTGTGCCATGGGCAGAATGACTGGGAGGGTCCTGAAAACTCAGGCCCTACCCCGAAGAAGCTCATGCTTTTCATGTGCTCTCTCCCTCTCCTGAAGGATTCCTACATCCAGAGTCGCGCAGACACCATGCAAAACATTGAGTCTACAATTGTTGAGCTGGGCTCCATCTTTCAGCAGTTGGCACACATGGTTAAGGAACAGGAAGAAACCATTCAGAGGTGAGACACTCTCTCTCTCACCCTAAACAGAGGAGTCTTCTCTTCCCTGTGGATTGGCATCTTGAAGTCCCCAGGGACTTAAAAGAGTAGAGTGAATTCTGCCCACGCTTCGGGCCCAGTTCACCTGCTTCTGTCCACTCAGCAAGCATTTAATGAGCACCTGTCCCATGTCAGGCACTGTTCTAGGTGCTGGAGATATAGCAGAGAATAGAACAGTAAACTTTATTTCATGAAACTCACTTTGTAGCATGTATATGGAATGGATAGGGCAGGCAAGGACACCTATTATAAACAATTGACAAACGAGACAATTTCTGGTAATAATAAGGGCTATACAGAGAATTAAAGTAGGATGATGTGTTAAGAAAGTGACCGAGTAGGTACATCAGATTGGGTGACTGGGAAGGCTGCTCTGAAGACATGACATTTAAGCAGAGATCTGTGATGACAAGAGGGATTTAGCCATGCCAGGTAGAGAGAAAGACTGTTAACTGCCTCACCTTCTCCCAAGTCAGATGTCACCTTCTCCACAGGGCCTATCTTACCATCCTATTTAAAATCACAGCTTGCACCTCTAAACGTAGCACCTCTACCTTTTTTTTTTTTAAAAGCATTTATCACTTTTTTAACATACTGGACCATTTACTTATTTATTTCTTATTATCCATCTCCTTACTAAGATGTAAGTTTCACAAGGGCAAGTGATCTTTGTCTCTTATATCCACTGCTGAATCCTGGTAACTGAATAAATGATCACTAAGTGCCACAGAAAAGCAGATAAAATGCCACTTGCAGAAGCAGGTGGTGTGAGAGGAACAGAGAAGTCAGTCCATTGGTAGACCTCTGCTCTGCCTACCTCCCTCCAGTACCACTCTGTACCTCTGTATCCCTGCTCATGACTTTCTAGCCACACTAGCCTTCTTGATTTTTTTCGTATAGCAAAACTGTCCTATCATAGGGCCTTTACTCTAGGGCCCCCACTGAGCCACTGTGTCCAGCCTGTTAGACATTTAAGTGGAGATGTTGAACAGGCAGGTGGACGTATAGAATTCAGGAGACAGGCCTGGGTCAGAGATAAGAAGGTGGGCAGAATTAAACTTTGAAGCTGGATAAGGAAGTGCTTGTAAAGAAGAGAATCATGGGCCAGAAGCAGTGGCTCATGCATGTAATCCTAGCACTCTGGGAGGCCGAAACAGGAGGAACACTTGAGGCCAGGAGTTCAAGACCAGCCTGAGCAAGAGCAAGACCCCGTTTCTACAAAACATAGAAAAATTAGCTGAGTTTGGTAGCACATGCCTATAATCCCAGCTACTCAGGAGGCTGAGGGAGAAGGATCACTTGAGCCCAGGAGTTTGAGGTTGCAGTGAGCAATGATGAAGCCACTGCACTCTAGCCAAGGCAATGGAGCGAGACCCTATCTCAGAAAAAAAGAGGATGAAGCGCTGAATCCTATGGTCATTTTTAAACTCAAGTCTCAGTCCTGGGTAAACACTGAAAGGAGGACAGCTGGTGAGGTAGGAAGAAAAATACATAAGCATGGTGTCCTAGGAGCCAGGAGAGGATAAGACAGGGAATGCGCCAAGGATCAAGTGATCAGCTAGGAGACATGTCGCTGATACGCCAAACAAGATGAGAGCTGAGAATTTAATTGGAACGTTTAGTTCAGTAACATTTAATTTTTAATAAGGTTGGATTTAGGTCAACTATTTTATTGTTTGTTTTCTGTCTTTCTCTTCTGTTCTTTGTTCTCCATTTCTCCTTTCCTGTCTTCTTTTGAACTAAAGGAGATTTTGTTTAGATATTCATCTGTTGCTATTCTTGCTGTATGTCATTCCTTTTCTTTTTTAGTGGTTGTTCTAGGGATCACAATAGGCATCATTAACTTTTCCTAGTGTACTTCATATAAAATGTCAAAATATTGCAACCCTCTCACTCCATCCTTTATTCTATAGTTATCATATTTGTTGCATGTGTATAAATCCCAGAGTATAATACTGTACTTTATGCTTTAAAGTTAAATGCATTTTAAAGAACTAAGAGGAAAAACAAATCTTACACATTTTTAGTGTTCCTCATTCCTTCTTGAACATCCAGGTTTCCATCTGGTATCACTTCCCTTTAACCTGAGGAAGCACTTCCTTTGGCACTTTTTGTAGTGCAGATCTGCTGACGAGTTCTTCTAGTTTTCTTACATGCGAAAATGCCTTTATTTCACCTTCATTTTTATTTTATTTATTTATTTATTTTTTTTTTTTTGAGACAGAGTCTCGCTTTGTTGCCCAGGCTGGAGTGAGTGCCATGGCGTCAGCCTAGCTCACAGCAACCTCAAACTCCTGGGCTCAAGCAATCCTGCTGCCTCAGCCTCCCAAGTAGCTGGGACTACAGGCATGTGCCACCATGCCCGGCTAATTTTTTCTATATATATATTAGTTGGCCAATTAATTTCTTTCTATTTATAGTAGAGACGGGGTCTTGCTCTTGCTCAGGCAGATTTTGAACTCCTGACCTCGAGCAATCCACCCGCCTCAGCTTCCCAAAGTGCTAGGATTACAGGTGTGAGCCACCGCGCCCTGCCCATTTTTATTTTTAATTTATTTTTTTGTTGTTGGTGTTTCTTTTTTTTTTTTTTCCTTCATTTTTTCAGTCTTCCCCAGCTGTCCTTAATTCTATTCACCTTCATTTTTGAAGTATATTTTCTCTGGATGTAGAATTCTGACAGCCTGGGCAACATAGCGAGACCTCATCTCTACAAAAAAAAGTAAGAAAAATTAGATGGGTGTGGTGCACGTGGCTGTAGTCCTAGCTCCTGGGTAGGCTGAGGTGAGGTGAGAGGATCCCTTGAGCCCAAGAGTTTGAGGCTGCAGTGAGCTATGATTGCACCATATCAGGCCAGCTAGGGCAACAGAGTGAGATCTGATCTCAAAAAAAAAAAAGTGTTCTGGGTTTACAGTTTTATTCTTTAAGCATATTTTAAGCACCTTAAATGTATCACACTTTCTGTCTTTTGGTCTGTCTTGGTTTTTTTTTTTTGAGACAGTCTCACTGTTGCCTGGGCTAGAGTGCCGTGGCATCAAGCCTAGCTTACACCAACCTCAAACTCCTGGGCTCAAGTGATCCTCCTGCCTCAGCCTCCCGAGTAGCTGGGACTACAGGCATGTGCCACTATGCCCGGCTAATTTTTTCTATATATATTAGTTGGCCAATTAATTTGTTTCTATTTATGGTAGAGACGGGGTCTCGCTCTTGCTCAGGTTGGTTTCGAACTCCCGAGCTCAAATGATCCGCCCGCCTTGGCCTCCCAGAGAGCTAGGATTACAGGAGTGAGCCACTGCGCCTGGCCTGGTCTGTCTTGTTTTAAATGAGAAGTGAGCGATAATTCTAATTGTTATGTGTGATGTATTTTTTCTCTGGCTGCTTTTCAATATATATTTTTTTATCTTCGTTTTTTAGCAGTTGACTATGGTATATCTAGATGTGGTTTTCTTTTAATTTATCTGGCTTGGGGTTCTCTGAGCTTCTTTTTCTGCAAATTTATTTCTTTCACCAAATTTAGGAATTACTTGGCCATTATTTCTTCCAATATGTCTCTGCCTCTTTCTATCCCCTCTTTCTGGATGTCTGTGTGTATGTGTGTATTTGATATGTAAGATGACATTGGAAAGGAATATAGGCAGTCCCTAGGTTACAGATGTCCTGACTTATTGGTGTTCCATACTTATGAATAGGCTCTCAAGGCTTTCCACGAGGATAATTCTTAATAAAATATTTAAATTAATAATTTGGGAACTAATTTCTTCATTTAGGGTACACAAGCCTGCATGGTATAAGTGGTTCATTGGTGCAGTGTCCTTATGCTAGCGGCTAGTCTCATTTTTTGGATGGTTGTTTATGCACAGCATCAATTTTGTCTTAACTTTCTCATTGGATTTTGTGAGTCTGTGTTCACCCTTATGACCATGTCTCCAAAGCAAAAGTCCACTGCAGGTCCTGGTGAGCCTGCAGCGAAGAGAAAGGTGATTACAATGGAAATGAAAGTAGAAACAATTAAGTGTTTGGAGAAAGGCCAGATGCCACCATTCATTGGGAAACTATCAGGCTTCAGTCACTCAACTATCAGAACAATTATAAAGGATAAAGTGAGAATAATGGAACATGTGAAAGGCAGTGCTCTAATGTAAGCATCAATTATTACTAAGCACCATAAGTAGATTAATTTTTTTTTTTGAGACAGAGTCTCACCCTGCTGCCTGGGCTTGAGTGCCATGGTGTCAGCCTAGCTCCCAGAGTACCAGGATTACAGGCGTGAGCCACCGCACCCGGCCCATAGTAGATTAATTATTGAAATGGAAAGGTTATTATTGATTTGGTTAGAAAATCAAAATATGCATAACATTCCTGTTAGCCTAGCAATGATGCAACATTGGGTGTTAACTTTTAATATTCTTTTTTGAAATTTCTCCTGTCTCCTATGTAAACTTTTTGTATGAGTTTCTTTTTATGTCGTTTGTTTGAATTACAGAGCACAATAGTTTCTGTAACTTATTATTATAGTACAGGAGTATTATTATTACAGTGTTATACTGTATTACCACATATGAGCCATTGCCTAGCCAGTGCTAGGATTAGAGTATTGTTATTATTACTACATATGTGCTATTCATCAGGGATCCGAGTTACATATGAAACTGACCTAAAGATGTTTTCAGGAACGTATATGGTCCATAACCTGGGGACTGCCTCTATATATACGTGTGTATGTATGTAAAACAGTCAATCTACTGTTAAGCCCATCTGGTGAATTTTTCCTTTCAGATACTGTATTTTTCAGTTTTAAAATTACCATTTGAGGCTGTACAGCCTTTACAGGCTCAGGCCTGTAATCCTAGCACTCTGGGAGGCCGAGGCAGGAGTATCGCTTGAGGTCAGGAGTTCAAGATCAGCCTGAGCGTGCTCGATTTGGCAGCATACATACTAAAATTGGAATGATACAGAGATTAGCA